CCCCCTCAATGTGGAACATCTGGTCGTCAAAGAAGATGTGCGGTTTGATTTTCTCCAGCAGGGGCCCTTTAGGAGCCCCAGCCAGGAAGAGAGCCTCGTCGATCTCCAGCCCCCAGCTGCGGAGAGTCTTCAGGACGCGGGCCCCGGAGCTGGCGGCGCTGCGGGCCGTCACCAGGAAGGTTCGGATGGGACAGTTCAGGCGCTCGTTCTTGGCGATGAATTTCCTCTGGAGCTTTCCCAGAGCCTCCAGGAAACACTTTAAGGGACCCTGAAAAGAGCCAAAGTATCACGTTTTATTTAATTGTTTTGAAATGAGGAACACAGGTTCAGATAATAAGGTGGAAGAGGAACTAAATGCAAACACACACAAACAGGAGCACATACACGCACGGACAGAAAACATGCCTGAGTTGATCATGTGTTTTCTATTTGTTTATTATCGTTTATTTTGTTAAGTGGAGGTCCATTGTGTAAGCCTGGGGGCTCTTGTCCTTTCCTGTCAGTTGTATTAGTTATATTGTTTTATGCTGTTGTATATCTGCATAAAAGTATTTTTTTAGGACTCAATCAACTGAAGGCAGATACATTTAGATGGAAAACAATTATCGTACTTTCATTTTGTTTTGAGTATCTTTGAGAATATTCTTGTCAAGTTTGAAGAGCTTCTGAAACAGCAGAATGAAACTATCAACTTAAACCCAGGAAGATGAGGGTGAATGGCCGGAGTGACACACTAGATCACATTTGATCTAGATCTGTGTACAAAAAGGATCAAATGCGGGTACAGTTTTAATGGAGGAGTCCCGAAACTATTGTGTTCTTTAAGTTTATATTTTAAAACGCATCAAGTACTTATAACAAGCCCTAGGTGCCAATGACATATGAAGCTCAGCGCAAGTTCAACCAGGAAGACCGTCTTTACTCATTCACGTATCTCTATTCCCATGTTACTACTCTCTCTCCTCTCAATAAGTGACCGGGGGCGTCACTCTTCAGTTTAACCAATCACTCGCTCTATTCCCAAGAGCCTATCATAGCGTTCTGTCAAACCTTTTAAGTCTGCTCTTCCCCCTCTGACAGCTGTCATTTCAGGTGACTCTACGCAACCCTCCTCCACCCCCTTTTCACCTCCGGTCCCTCTGAATCCAGGGTCAAGCTAAACCACTCCTCTTCAGACTGACCCAACTATCCATTCACCACCACCAGTGTCTAGACCCCAGGGGGGTTTCATCGGATCGGTTCTACCTTCCCGAATGATACTTCCTGCACAACGGGGCCTAATCGCCAAAATTAACATTGCATTCATTTATGCATCTGCGCAATAAATATGTATTATTACATCAAACCGTCTCTCCTGATTGAACATCAGTTACCTGAGCGAGAGGCTTGTTCTCAAACTCCTTCTCGTGCTCAAAGAAAGTGTCCAGGCCGTGCTGCTTCACGATGATCTCTGACTCGTCGGAGAAGAGGACGGCGTCGCCATCAAACGCCACTCTCAGCTGAGTCTTACTCAGCTCATTATCCGTGTCCGCCGTAAACATAGTGGCTGCAGCGATGCCTGAAAGAGGAGAGGAGAGGGATGTTAAAAACAAGCTTTGTGACTTTGAGACTATATTTGAATTTGATACCTCACAGCTGCAAATTCCTGTTTTATATACAATGTTTTAGCTGCTAATGCACATTTGCTTTGATTTCTGATACTTCTGTCTTTCAATAAAGAGATTTATAGTTATATATAAACAGTTAGGCTAATGTGGTCTCATAGCTACCAAGTTGTTCGAGGTAAACTGTGAAAGATTTCTTGTTTCCTACTAAAAAGACAAAGACAGTTTTGTTTGAGAATCAGTTATGGTCGTAACATTGAATTGTACACATTAGTGATGCTCTACAGTATATATAATGTAACATAGACTCTTGTGATATAGGTGTGTCATCCAAATGTTTGTCATAAACAAAATATTCCAATCCTAATTTCTTAGGCATGTCTTCTTCAGATATCTTGTTTTGCTCGACCAACAGACAGAAACCCGAATAAATTCAATTTACAGGGATACAAAAGAGATAAAGAATCAAATCCTCACATTAGAGGAACTAAAATCAGCAAAGGTTTAACAAGTTTAACTTGATAAGCGACTTAAAATCAATTATCATGTTCTGTCAGCTAAATATTTAATTTCAGCACTACACATGAAAGTCAGTGATTCATGTTTGTTTGTTTTGTGTGTATTGGGACATGACAGGGAGCCATAAATCACACGCTTTCATTCTCCTTCTTGCTGCTCAGTGTGCGGTCGAAGTTTCCCTCAACATCATTAATGAGTCACTCAGAAAGTCAACACGCAAATGTGTGAATATCAGTACTATACATCTTTAGACTGCTGAAAGAAACTTATACATAAAAAGAGAAATCAGGGTTATAGTGTCATCGCAGCATCATCTTACCTTCTTCTATGGCCTCTGTCACTTTGTCGGAGTCCTTGGAGAGGTAAAGGTTGGTCATGTAGGCCTTCAGGTAGCCTATAGGGCTTTCTCCTCCGGTCATACAAAATCTCTCTATGCTCAAATCTGAAAAGCAGGTTAGAGATTGTTAAAGGTCTCTTATTATACTCTTTTTCATCAATATATTATAGGTCTCGGATATATACAAACATGTCTCTGAAGTGTTTGGCTCCAAATACCAAACAGATCATTGCAGCATCCCATAATCCCCTCTGTTTCAGCCCTGTTTCAAAAGTGCTGATTCTCTGTCTGTTACTTCAGATGAAAATAAGGAGCCCCTCCCCACGCCCCTCTGAGAGATATTTGGTTAAAAAGAACACAATGGTGCTCTAGGAGGAGATTCAGGTGATAAGGTGTGGGGGGGGGGGGGATGGTACCTTGGTTGGTGATTGGCTAATGGTTACACAAGCCAAAAAATCGTTATGACATCATAAAGTGGCCAAAATCTGATCAGCTCATTTTCAGACAGGTTTTTATATAAATGGATCAGGACAAAAAGTGAGCGAATCTTTTTTCCTGAAAATGTCAGAATCTCTTTACACAGAGGGGACACATGTTGATGTATAAAAGATATGAACATTTGGATTTTGCATAATAGGTGACCTTTAAGTAAAGAAGGCTGATTCGACTTACACTAGAACACCTTGTGTGTCATTACCAGACTCTAATACTGTTGTTGATCACTCCTGTTGCTGCAGCAGGAGAGACGCCGCTGTATTAAACAAAGTGTGGTTATGGACGCAGCGTACCGTAGTGATTAATGCTGTTTATGAGGCGCACTCCGACTTGGGCATGGTTGTTAGTCATTAAGACGATGTCAAACAGCTCCTCGCTGTCTGGGTAGAGCTGCCTTAGTCGAGAGTTGACATTCATCAGCGCCTGTGAGAGGGAGGAGGATGTGGTGTCAGAGGGTTTAAAAGGACGTTTTACCTTGCACTATTTTATGTCTTAGGTCTCAATTGTTATTAACTTAACACATTCACATATGTAATGAGCATTGATGGAGAGTTGTATTGCCAATGACTGCCTTTCTGCAATGTTTGGGTACATAAACTTGACAAATGTGGAAGTTAGAAGAAAAAAAGGTAATTGACAATTTCCTGATTGTACCGGATATGAAGGTGCCATACAGATACCTGCCTTGACAAGACGTGTGGCCTGTCTTGGATATCAACATGGCTTTAAGAATCTCGCACAAAAATCTACACTCTACATGTTGATGCAGGGCTTAAAACGCTAACTCATACTGTTCAAGTTTTTCCTTGTGTGGCTTTTGTAGACAACGCATATTTTTGGTGAATCGACCAGTTTGAGGCACCACGCCCTGCAGAGAGCCGGAGACCAGGCCTACCTGGACGAAGGGGAAAGCAGCTCCAGGCATCAGAGGCTCGCTTTCATGCTCCATCTGATAAGCCACATACTTCTCCAATCCTTCATCCTGATAGATCTTCCTCTCCTTCACCATGTTGAAGAGGGTGCGAGAGGACACGGCAATGGTGACAGCATACCGGGGTTTGGGCTGTATGTTTGGATGAATAAAACATGTAATAGCAGTTGTGTTTGCTTATTAAGTCACATTTTGTTTGCAAGAAGGTGTCTGAACCTTACACACAAACGTATGATCATAAAACTGTATAGCAAAAGTACTTACAGGTCTTGGTTTGTTTGTTTTGAGGTTGTCAAAAAAAGCTTTGGCAGCAGCCCAGTCTTTCTCCTCTCCGTTGTCTTCAGTTGGAGCTGATTCGGTTAGTTTGATTTCACTCATTTTGATAATGTTTTAAACGTAGCCTTTAGCTAAAGAAACTCAGAATTGTTGTGAGGAAGCAACAGCCTGTAAACTTTGCGGAAATGTATCAAAACGAGGATGGGCGTGTCTCCAAGCTGTGACGTAGGCAGAGCTGGGCATCACTCGCACCTGATTGGCTGAACGCCTCCCCATGTCCACATAACTTTGTGTACATTTTTTTGTACCACATAGGCCCCTTAGAAGATCTAATGCAGAATATTATTAAATGTAAGGTAACTAAGCTATTGTGCTTTCAGCTTATTCAAAAACAGACAAGAGATACAAGGTTTAAATCACGTCAGTATAAATGGTTAATGAGAAAATACATAGCTGTCAAACTTAATGGACAAGTATGTTCTCTACCTGGAGATTGGCACATGAACAACTTCAAAATGCCTAGGTCTGTCATGTAAACTATTAACACATGTGTTAGAGTTATTTAATTATGACTTGTTTTAGACATTTTGCATCACTAGCCTAACATATTCCCAAACAGCTATTTTACTTGAACTGTAAATGTCTGTCTATGCATATGTTTGTTTCCTCTGTTTTACCTTTACTTGCCCAAAATCAAATTACCTTCTTGGATTACTAAAGTTTTGTTGAATCTTATCCTATTTTACAGTTGTACATGTATATTTTGTGTTTAAATGAATGAATATGACATAGTGCACACAGGTCTGTTATTGAAATAGCAATTGCTTATACAATCGCTCTCTGTCACACACACACAGACGCACAGACACACACCGTCCACCGGCACATGAATGACCTCCCTCCTCCAGCACCCCCCACCCCCACAGTTGGTAGCGTCCGGGACGGAGCATCATGGCGATTGACGGTAAGAACTCGGTCTCAGGTGTCCTGCGGGACTCGTGTAAAACTTTGCTCGGGGCAGAATAAAAACGCTGTTAGAAAAAAAAAAATCACTTGGTAGGTTAGGAAGGCTGTCATTTTGTTACCGGCTTCGTTTTTAAAATCCCGCCGTGAGTTCCGCAGTGCTCCGGAGCCGTGGCTGGGACAGCTAGCAGCATCACCCGCGCTGCTGCAGGAATGTTATGATCCCTTCATGGGATGCATGCTCTACGAGTGAAAGTGGACGCATATAGTCCCTCTGCTTTGTGTCATGAATGCGCAAAATATTCGATTAAGACACTCGTGAAATATGAAATCATTTAAATATTTATGTTTGTCTTAAACCGAAAATCACAGCAGGCTGCTTAGCATCACCTGACAACAACTTTGTTTTGTAACCGTTAAAGATCTACATCACCTGGCGGATTAATATGGAACGTTAAAAAATAACGTTTGAGTTCGAAAACCTGCTGATAGATAACCGTTAATATTGTGGGTGCATCATTGTCTGTATACATCAATGGGATGTTGATATTACTACAATTCATGAGTAACGTGTACAACATATGATGTGTAGCCTACACAATGACGACAGGTCAGATATCTCCTGCAGGTTTTATGTAAAATGATGGGAACACTGAGCAGTGACAAAAACGATGCAGTCATTGAAGAGTACAGGCGCGTGCCTTGGTCCTGTCCCGTAATGTGGGCACTATTGTGTCACGTGCAGCCATGCGTGCAGCAGCAGTGTTTGTTGATACACCAGCAGAGCGAGAAAGAGGGGTTACGGCTTCTTCATGAAGACATATCAGCGGTGACTCACCAGTGGCACAGGGAATATAGGCTATCTCTGCAATTCATATTTTGTAATCAATCTTATATTATTCATACAGCAGTGGTTCATTCTTACAAATCGCAATACATGCAGCTTAGGCAGTTCTCTGTCTATGCAATCCCATGCAACTACTCAGCTAACAATTATACCTTACAAAGTTTATAATGTTCACTGTCTTGGAGTGACATTGTTGGAAATGTGTCAATTGAAGGATATGTTTTTTTTTTTTAGATCACACTAAAGTGTTGTACTGGACTGCAATATGCTGAGGAGAGTCCGTTACATTTGCATACATGACAGGGTTACAGTATTATGCGACACATCTTATTACAATGTAGACCAGTACAACATCTGATAAACACCTCCATGACAGTGTCAACACAAATCTAACGTCCATACAAGTAGACTTCATGACAGAAGCCTTGTTTCGAATTACATTAAACTGTACAGGTTTGCCAAATAGATGGGACAGTGAGGGTATATATTAATCCAAACTATTTCGATCTGTTTTAAATATGTCCTAAAACATCTTAAAACAAGTATTCAGTCAACCATTATGTAGCCCTTAGATTTATCTTGTACAAACTATTCTATAACTAGCAGTTTAAAAAATATGTATAAATCAAATTATTCTAAGGGATATAAGCTGTTCCTGGTATATTCTCCACAGGTCCTTGGCTGAGAAACAGTTGAAAACCTGTGCTTTATACAACTGAAGATTAAGGCAGTTAAAATACTTTTCCTAAAAAGCCTTACTTTTAGTTTTAGGAATATCAGTGACCGATGTATTACTGATTGCTACATTTGGCCACCTTTTGTCTCAGCAAGAACAGCCAACAGAGGTATTCTGTATCATTAAATTAATTGATACTTGTGTCTGAGCTTCCTCCTCTCTGGCACCGAAATTTCACCTCAGAACATTTTCAGTATCCAATCCCCGAAGTAGGGAAATTACACATTAAGTCCATTGATTGTTGGTTGGAACTAGGCCGATTTGAACTGAGTTCTGGGGACATTAGGGAAAGAAAATACCCACATTTAAAATAATACTTGGAAGATATTAGAGTGTTTTCAGTTCTGCCTTTCTGCTGTTTTCATGTACTTTTAAAATAGAACAAATTGGTTCTTCAGTCAAAGAAAAGGAAAAGGAAATTATTTCTGACCATCTTTTATTGCATAAAAGGCATACATAAAAAACAAAGATAGTTCAAGGGAGGTATTCTGCTGTTTCTCTGAAGTAATTTAAATTAAAGTAATTAAGAGCCACATTTATACAGCAGAGATCTGCTTCTGCCTCACAGTAGATACCTGAATCATTAAGTGCTAAGGTGGTGTTGAGCCGAGAGAGATAACGTGTGAAGGGGTATGTGTGTGTGTGTGTGTATAAGCCTTTGAGTGTTTGAATGTGAGGAGGGGTGATACAAGTGTCTGTATCCTTTATTAAGTTAAGCCTCAGGAGGATTGTGAAGGAAATCGTGACATGAAAATAGTAAAACCTCAAAATATTTCTGTATAATGTAAAAGGATCTGAATAATTGGTGATAATTAGGTGAGATATGCCTTAAACTGATGATATATTCATAGTAACAGTGTTCAAACTGGTTCAAGCATCGAGGTCACCGAGTTCATGACCCCGCTTATTTTAATCTAAGACTTTAAAGAGGCCCTTTTATGCTCGTTTACAGGTTTATAATTGTATTTTTTGCATCTACTGTGACACGTTTACATGCTTTAATGTTTAGAAAGGGCTGTGCTGCACCTCTTTTCACCCTCTGTCTGAAACCAGAGCCCAGTCTGCTCTGATTGGTTGGCTGGCTGGCTCGATTGTGATTGGCCTACCGCTTATAGATGTCCCAGCCCTTATCCTAGTAAACCTACTTGGTAATAAAACCAATTCTGATTCTGAAATCTTCTAACTTAACTCACATTAAACAGTGAATACAAAATATTCAACTATTAGTTTTTAGCTAGGCCCCTCAAACATGCATATACAAATATTCTACTATCACAAAATACCTCCTTGTTATGGCGCATTCATATTAATGTGATGTTCTTGCATACCCATTTGAATGTGAGTTTTTCTTCTCAGTTCTTTCCAGCTAATCAGTTTTATTCAAAGCACCATCTGCCAGCTTCACTAACCTGAGGCAATGAACATATGTTTCTACAGTACATGGAATCATCTCTATAACCTTTGACTCCCAACTTTTCTTTCTCTCTCCCAGGAGGGGGGAGGAACTGTGGTGTTCACGAGCTCATCTGTGCAAGAAAAGGTAAAGCCATGTTCACAACCGAGCATTGCACTTGTGTGTCTGCATTAAAAGGATGGTTCAGATAGTTTGAAGCAGCTCTGTAGGAGGTACTTATCCATAGTCAGCGTATTACTGTACCTGCAGGGGATAGATGTTGTAACGCTTTCAGTTTGCAGAAACAGACCAAAGTAACAACACAGATGCTAGGCAATGTACTGTGGACGGGGGCAGCAGCAGAATGTAATTTAGCCACCTAAAAGAAACAATATTAGTGGAACTGTATGTTATATTTAGAATATTAACATTTAAACACCAAAGTCCCAGAAAAAACACTAACAAACTGACCTATCATGGCAAGGGTAGACCAGCACTTCACAACTTCAGTTTCCTATACAAAAAATGACAGTTTAACAGCAAGGTAAAGCTATACAAATATATTAATTATAGCATACTTAAATTGATATATATTATTTTAAGATGGGCCTTTATTTTTAAAATATGTTTTGCTGCTGTCCCATTACTTTACATATGTGCTGGTACTCAAGTCAAATTCAACTTTAATGTCAATCTTACTCAGTTTGTGTTTACAGACAGAGAGATCAAAATGACATTTCCAACAATCCCGAATGTAAAATTATACAATATACAGATATGTATAAAATATGTATATCCTATATACACAATCAACAGACACATTTACACATATGCACACATTAAGATAAAAAAACACAATCAATATATACAAAATAACAGTCACTTCAATATCAATATCTTTGGTGCAAGATTGTCCATAAAATGTGCATTTATTGCAGATTGTCCATAGCAGCGTAAAAAAAGTGTGTGTGGGGAGTTATAGTCCATGGGGGCTCCTGTCTGCTTCTCCAAACTGGTGGCTTGCTTATCGCCATCTACCCTAGAAAATACACAGACTGTGGATAAGTACCTCATTAATCCCTGCTTCAAACAACAAGAACTAGTATCACTTTATGTGTGTGTTTGTTTTGATCCCGAGCATAATGCTGTGCATGCTTTGTAGCACTTCACAACATGACTTCAAAAGTAAAACAATTGCTATATCCAGTGTGAGGTTTGGTGGAAACAAAGTGTTTCTCGATAAACTACTGAAAGCATAATGACCGCCTGTGAATTATGCACGCCGTATCAAGTTTTGGTTTACTTCAGCAAAAGGCAGCAGCTGTGTTCATGATTTATTCAGCATCAAGGTTTTGTTTCGTATCAGAAGTCCATGTGTAAGCAACATTTCCAGATTGCCTACCTACTTTTTTTAAACAAGCACACCCTATAAACTCAAACAAAGTTAAACATGCACTGATCCAAAAGCTTCAAAGTTGGATAAGTAAATAGATTTATAAATGAATGGATAATTTATGCCCACAATGAGGATACATGTATTGCAAAGACGTATAACAACAGTCATTTGTTTCCCTTCTTTTTATGTCAGAAAAACGATTTATCCTAATGAACTCAAGTTTCTCTGAGGGTATTGTTCATTGCTTGTTTGCACTTTGAATGGTTCAGTTGCTGTGTTTGTTGTTTGTTCGTCAGCTTGCTGAAGTCATTACCTGGTAGAAAAAGAGCAGATTGAATCCTGAGGCTCAGTTCAGAATCCTGAGTTCAGCATCAGATCACACGCCATGAAAAATCAACATATTTACTCAGTTATGTTTTCTTGTTCATTCTGTTCAGACAGAGAGAAAGGAAAGTGGCTGAGGGAAAAAAAGAAAACGACTTCAATGTGCTCTGCTTTAAAGAAAAATATAAGTCTTTCTTGATAATGATGGGTTTTATAGCAGAGAAATAACTGATTGATGGTTGAGCTGCTTGCTATGACTCAATTTGCCAGTGTGCATGGATGGAGGCTTCAGGTTACCTCAGGTTACCTAAATTATTCAGCTCTTGTTGACATTTACAGAGCAGGGCCACGTATGAAGTGTCTTCACACTCAGGGCCACGAGTTGATCATTTTGACAAGCCGCCGCTGTTCCCGATGGCCGCCGAGGTCATTCTGGCTCAATCACCACCACCGTCTGCAGTGAGAGTTGATACGCAAGCCTGGAAAGTGCTGGCACGAACTTAAGTGTGAGGGATTTATTACATGTCGGATTACTTCAGAGCAGGACAACTTTGTTTTTCCCCCTCTTCTTAGATCTTTTACTCTCTATAGCAGCAGAATAGTGCTTTTTGGGAACAGCTGGTATTAAAGAGGATATTCATTTAGTGAAGGTAAGCTCCTGCCGCCACATCGCCTCTCACTTATCTCACTCTCTCTCCTACTTCTCTTGCCATTCTTGGGAGTTTAGCATTCATCACTTTGGCAGTTCTGCGGCAGCACTAGTTATCAGGCTGCAGTGGTCTCTGCCTGTTGCCATGGTGAAACAAGTCCATAAATTCAATCTGTAGTCGGGAGGGGTGAGAAACTATGACTCTTATGTTTCTCTCCTGCTTTCTCATTTGTGCTCTCCGGGAAATCCAATTTAATCAGTGACAGGTGATGGTTGTTTTTTAAATGAGCCCCGGCTATAAAACACATGCTACAACATTTGGCCTGCATTACCATTGCTTTTTTAAAATATATATATGCTATTATAGGACTTACACATAATTTGATAATCGAGTTGTCAGCTGCATATTTTCTTAAATCGGTCAATTCACTGTATCTATTAAACGTCAAACATTTTTACCTAACTTTTACCAACTTATGTTACCTAAACCCAGATTTATGTTTTCTTTTAATACTATGATTATGAATTTTCAACACATAAGACAAAAAATGACAGCAAATCCTCACAACTGCCAGGGGACTGAGGAGAAAAATAAGCTTTGAGCTACTGTATGATGTTGTCAATGTTACTGTAATTAAATGATTATGGATTGTGATCCCTGTCAAATTAACTTCTAAATAACTCAAACGAAGAAGCTGGGACTTGGACATTTCTGGTAGTTTTGCTTAAAAATTTAAATTCTGATTCAAAGAACGATGCAAATAAATATCACTATCATTTTTTTCTAGCGTATCCTGGAACAAAACTAATGTAGCAATGACAACTCTCGGCCTTGGAAGTAACTAAGTCTTTCTTGCGGCAAGTAAGCTAATTAGCTGAACATGCTATCTTCTGCGGCCTATTGTAGAGCACACAAACACACTTGAATCCAATTGTTAGAGCTTTTATTCTTTGGTTTTGGTCCACCAAAGCACTGTGGAGATGTATAGCACTCCTACAGTTGCTAAGCTACGATTAGAACATGGTTGCTCAGGGGACAGGTTTAGTAAACAGTCAATAATAAACACCTGTGTGGGCGTTCAAAGCCTTCAAGATTGGTGACCCTAATAAAATACTGAGGGATTCATTGTTGAAAATGTCAACTGGGATCATAAAAACTGGTGTTAAAAAACCAGACACCACATATTATGGGTATTCATTTTACAAGCTGCCCTTTCCACTGGGGCATTTGGTCTTTAGAAATATCGTTCATGCTTCATTATCCATAAAACTTCCCCTTTTCTCCAGCTATTGCGATGTGGTGTGTCTGCGTTTTAACACATGAAGTGCAGGCCCGGTGCGGTTTGGCTGGTTTAGTCCACATTTCATTCAGATACAGCTCCTTTGAGGCTCTCATAAAAATAGCACATCAGCAGCGCAGAGCAGCATGGTTACATGCAGTATGGTTGGCCTACATACACTGCTGTAGACTGTGTGGTGCCTTTGAAGTGGAACAACCACTGATTGTTTAGAAACACAATATGCTCCACTGACAGGGCAAGATTTAAGGAGTTTGATTCCAAAATAAGATGCTTATCAGAAAGATGTACTTTTTTTTTTACTTTAAACTTGAAGCCATCTGTGTTTGTTTTTATTAACAGCCATTTCTCTTAAAGGTGGGGTAGGTACTTTTGGAGAAACCAGCTCGAGATCGCTAGAATTTGAAAATACACAGCTGGAAATAATCTGCCACTTCCTTACAGAGCCCCTCCTCCAACACACACGAACGCGCACATGACCAATGAGGGCACGAGATAAGTTTGTGCACAGATGGAAGGCTGACAGGCAAGTAGGCCATCCAGTTATTTTAGCCGGGCCGGCTAAAATGATTGGTCGTGCTTTTTACAGTATTATGGCTTCCACAGATGACATTTTTGTATGGATTTTTTGTGAAAGCACTTAAAATATTCATTGCTTTCGGGATGTTAAGAGCATTCCATGGAATATAACAAAAAGTGTATCTTGAGCCGGTTTCTCAAACTTACCTACCCCACCTTTAAGAACACGAGAAATGTAACTGTTACATATCTCCATAATCAGTATTATGTTTGTCTAATTTGTATATTATCTTTTTTTCCTGTCTGTCTTTCCTTTTCTCCCCCCCCCCCCGCCTCTCTCTCGTTTCCTCCTCAGTCTCTCCTGAGCTTCTGGGTGTCCTGTCTTCCATTACAGCCTTCATGGCGTTGATGGCTCTGTTTTTTCTTTACCTCAGCAACAAGCTGTCAGTGGCGAGTCCTGACGACCTGTCACATCTCAACGGGTTAAAGAACAGACATCCAGGTACTCATCACACACACAGACCAACCACAGTGGCTGCATTTACACACACATTAAGATGGTAATTCAGTTATTTTGTGCAAAACATGTCCTCTTCCAAAGAAAAACTGAAGATGTACAGACCAGGGAGCTGGAGGAATAAGATCAGGAACAAAACCAGGACCTCAGGGAAAACAGACGGGAACATAGCCGACGGACTGAAAAAGGAACGCAGGCAGGCATATATAGTGACATGACTAATTACATTAACAAGAAACAGCTGAGGGCAAGTAAAGGCACAGGGGAAGCAAGGAGCTCACACACAGGTGGAAAGAATCAGGGCAATTACAAAGGCGGCAAAAAACACAAAGACAGGAATTAAAAGCAGACAAGGCAAACATTTAAATTGCATTTCAAAATAAAACAGGAAACATCAAACACAAAAAGATCATGACAAGCAAATCACTTTATTTCTTATTCAGTTGCGTCATCAGAGCACCACCGTAAGGTCCCCATCCTTTCAGAGAGGAAAATAAAATAAGCTCCAGTTGTGTAGGGGTAAAGGCAATAAGATCCAATCCAATACGCACATAAAGAAGTGGGTTTTGACACTTTTGTTATTGTACTTTTGCGTGCAATGTGTCCCAATAGTGGTTTCATATTTGTTTGTATGCTGAGCAGCTGTATAGTTTTCCTGAATAAGCCAAGATGTGTGAAAAGCTAAATCAGAATTATAAATGAATCGCGAATGTTTTTGTGATTCATTCATAATTCAGATTAAGTTTTTATGAACAAACACGATTCATTTTAGAGCCACTGTTAGTGTTGTTGTTGCAGGTGGTTTGCATATCTACAGTAGGCCTACAAATAATGCAGTATCAATATTAATGTATCTGTTTCCATAACAGACCAGCTGCTACGTGTTGACAATCAATAACCTTGTGATCACAAAGTGTGTTGCTATTCGATAAACCCCAAAAGATTGATATACAGGATCAGAAATGAGAATATATCTGCAAGGTACACTGTACCGGTAAGATAGCTCTTGCTTCAAAAAATGTATAACAATCTTAGGAGTAGGGCTGTGCGATTATGGCAAAAATCATAATCACGATTATTTTGGTCAATAATTGATATCACGATTATTAAATACGATTATTCATTGACTTTGAAAACATCCATTTATTGAACTTTAAAACAAATACAAATAATAATTTGAACAGTATCTTTTTAATTGTTGATTACCCTGAACGTATAATTCAACTGAAAAACCAATACTAAAATAAATGATACATTTATATTTACATTTAAATAAATAATATCAAAAATAATAAATACCAATAAACAAGATCAACAAATATTTTGGAGCACACTTCAACAAGCTACTAAACATATGTAAATATGATAAATACAAATAAATTAGACTAAAATAAATTAGATCAAATATGTTGCAGTGCACTGTCACAACCTAGCAAAGCAAAATAATCGTTTTTTTTCGATTATGTTGTTTTCGTAATTGTGGCAGGCCAAAATCGTAATTGCGATTAAAATACGATTAATTGCACAGCCCTAGTTAGGAGTATTGTTTAGTATGTACGTGTTGATCTCAGCTCACATTGTGATGCTGGCCCCACACCCTGCTAACAACCACATGTCCTATCAGCGCTCTGATGAGATAATCTAGCGTCCTGCGTCCCCGGCTGAGAGATGGCCTTCTTCAAGAGTTTCCAGCAGAACCTCCCCACTGTCAACATTTCCTCCCTCTTGGACTCGGTCACCAGCCGCGTGGACGACCTGGCCACGGCCGTCAGCGACGCCACGTACGCCGTCAGCGACCAGCTCACCGAGCAGGTCACCACCATCATCAACAAGGTGGACGATGGGGAGAACAACGGGCAGGAGTCGGGTCAGACTTCCACAGCACAGGAAGGAAGAAGCAAGGCCAGCAGCACCGGATCAAAGACCAACCAATCCGGGGAAACCAACGAGGCTGAGTCCGCTCCGAACCAGCCGGAGTGGGAATGGAGGGACGGATGCTGGCGAGTTAAAAGGACAGAAGCCGAGTTAGAAGAGGAAGGGAAGAGGAAGAATGAGGAGAAGGAGCAGCAGGAGAAGAAAGAGCAGAGGAGGAGAGAACGGAGAGAAAAGCAGCTGGAGAAAGAAGCCAAGGCACAGAAAGACAAAGAGGAATCCCAAGATGGAGAGCAAGAGGAGGATGCTTTAGAGAAAACTGATTGTGGACAAATCAGAAATGGGAGTGATGGCGGAGACAACTCCATCGATCAGAAAAAAGAGAATGACTGTGAAGACTCACCTCGTCCTCAACAGAGAAAGCAAACAGAAGACGGAGAAGAAGAGAAGGAGGTGGCGGACAGCCTTGAGAGAGAGGGAGATGACGAGGACGAAGCTGAAGTGACCAAGTCTTCAACAACTGGGAAAAAGAAGAAGTCAGACAAGAAGAAGAAGAAGAAAAAACTGAAAGATGATGGGAGGAATTCAGACGAAGCCTCGGATGTGGAGAAAAAGAAGGGGAAAGGGAAGAAGAGCAAGAAGAACAAGAAAGCAAGCAAAGGTTAGATGGTGTGCTGCTTCTATTTCACCGCCTCCGTTTCTTCTTCTCAAACTAAATACTTGGATTCTTAACCTGAAGTTCTTACCCTGAAATCCACTTTTCCAGCGTGCTGAGTGCCAGTTTCAGCATCGTCGTTCCTGTCTCCTGCATTTATTTCAACATTGCAAACATTGTGTTTTGTGAGAGAGAAATGTAATGTTTGAACAAGAGTCTCCGTGTTTTCTGTCCAGAGGGAGTTTTATCAGACAGCGAGGAGGAGAAAGGCCCCGAGGACGCGGCTCCACGGAACAAGACTTCAGCGTGGAGCAACAAGAGCAAACAGTCCACAGAGCAGGGGGGCTACAGCAGTGAAGCCTCCAGCGGACGAGGTGAGAGGGGGACAACATGGTATTTCACTTGAGGAGCACATACGGTGAAGAACCTAAAACACATAAAAGTCACACTACATAAGAGACACACTGCTTATGTATTAAATAACAAATAAAGAAAACCATTAAGGACTGCAAACATATAACACATAAAGATAGTTTAATTCTGGGGGCAGTGATATACCACAATAAGAAATATAAAAACAGATGTGACACTATTATGTTACGGCCCGTCCACACAGCGGCGCTGGAAGCTTCTTCCAACGCTTCTGCCCATGCACTTTCATTTCATTTCATTTCAATCTCTATTTCGAACAGATTAAAAAATATAACAAATGTGAAAAACAGAATACCGTATTGTTAAAATACAGTATTTATCCACATTCACGATAATATTTATATATTCAACAAAAAAAGTCTTCATATTAATAATAATAATAATAATTTTTAAAAATCATATGTGTCCGAAAGGGAATTCCCACCCCTTACTTGATCAATGATTGTCCTTTAAGTCATTATGCAAGTTATTCCTACTTACATTTACATTTATACATACATATACAATAATTTCTCATCTTCAGTCACCTCTCTTCATTCTCATAAGTTTTCCAAAAAAGTGTTTGAATGGGGTGACGTCACTTTTCGCCGAACTGCATTGTGGGAAGCAGAGCGGAGCTTTCCTGGCGTTTCAGGCTGCAAAAGTTGAGCAATGTTCAACTTTTGAAGCTTCTGAAGCTTTCGGTGGAAGCGTCAGCCAATCAAATCATATGCCAGTACAAGCTCTAGCCAATCAAACCGCTGCTTGTGTGTCAGGGGCGGGAGATTCATGTGATTGGTTGTTGGTCGAGCTTCAGACACGCCCACCGGCAAGCTTTTTCCAAAGCCGCTGTGTGGATGGGCCGTTACTCTAATCAATATTTTCACATTGTGGTAAATACCCTTATTTAATTTCTTGCAGTGAGATAGAGGAGAAGAGTTATACCATATGTCAAGGGATGTTTGACTATTCCATTGTCTATGTTTCCAACAAACATACATGAGTTGATTTGTAGTTGCTGCATCATTACGTTAAATTACATAAACCATTAAAACTTTGGAGAATTAACAATAAAAACGATTGTTTGAGTTTGATTCATCTAGGCTGTATTAGCTCAAAAAGATGGGCTCACCCATGTGTGCGGCACAGTTTAAGAGGTTAACCTGACTCTGTGGTGGACTGTATGTTGCATACATAATGAATGTCTCCACAGAGCACAATACATCTCGGGTAACACCGCTCTCTCGTATCCCGTTACTCCCCCCTGTCCCCTCTCTCTCTGTCACTGTCCTAAAAGCAGCCAACAGCATCCAGAGAATAAAGAAGAACTCGTCCCTCGGCGAGCCCCGGCCTCCTCCCTACCAGGACGAGGGCTCGGGGGGGCGCGTGTCCTCTCGATCACGGTCAGAGCGAGGGGTCCGCAGGGGGTCTTCGGCGCAGCGCTGCGACAGCCCCCGCTCCAGTGAGGCCAGCGCTGACCAGGACACTGAGAGCTACCTCAACAAAAACTGTGAGGAGGACATCCCCAGTGACAGCACGGCTGTTCTGGGACCAGAGGTGAGGCCAACGCTCTCTGTGCCTTTAAAGGTCACCTATTATGCAAAATCACTTTTTCATGTCTCTTATACATAAACATGTGTCCCCTCTGTGGAAAGAGATTCTGAAAGTTTCAGGAAAAAAGATTCTCTCACTTTTTGTCCTGATCCATTTATATAAAAACCTGTCTGAAAATGAGCTGATCAGATTTTGGCCACTTTATGATGTCATAACGATTGTTTGGCTTGTGTAACCATTAGCCAATCACCAACCAAGGTAACCCCCTCCCACCTTATCACCTGAATCTCCCCCTAGAGCAGTGGTTCTCAACTGGTCAGGCCTCGGGACCCACTTTTTACTTGGTCAATACATCGCGACCCAACATTTTGAAGCACTCAAATCTATTCAACAAAAAATCGTGCTGTAATATATACGCTTTTGAGCATACAATATTAATAAAAGTGAAGTACAGTGCATATATCCCTTATATCCCTTCACAGAACTAAAGTATGCTTTTAAAAAAGGTTTAATGAGATGATGGAATCAAAGCTGAACTATATAAAAAGGCACACATGCTGAAACCCAACCCAAGCAGGGGGGTCTGGGGGGATTCTCCCCCAGGAGATTTTTAGAAATACTAACATAAACTACGCATTCTGGTACACTCTGAGAAGAAAATCGGGCCTTCAAAATAAAAGTTTGACTTTTTCCCCCCAAAAAAAAAATTTCCAATTTTTTTTTTTCAACTTTTTTTTCTTCACTCACACATCCGCGACCCACTCGAAACGGGTCCGCGACCCACTTTTGGGTCGCGACCCACCAGTTGAGAACCACTGCCCTAGAGCACCATTGTGTTCTTTTTAACCAAATATCTCTCATGCGGCTTTCACACCAGCGCTTTTCCCTTTCTAACTCCTAGCTAGAGCTTTTCTGGTTCAGCTCCGGTTTCCCTTTTCTGCTCCCGCTCTGTTCACACTGCTCAGAGCCCGACTGGTGCTGCCGCTGCTGCGTCATGACGTCACCGTTTACATCGCTGATTTGCTCCCCAACGGCGCTCACAACAACAACAACGGGGGACTGTGTCGGGTCGATGATCGTGTTGCTTTTAATCATACGAAGCCAGATTAAATTAAATAACGACTTCTCCAACCTTATACTTTTCTCCAGAGTGCCGTGGTTCATTGTTTATTAATGTGTTTCAGCGGCATTTACCGACCGCTGCAGTGCTGGCTGCTCTTCCACAGGAGTTTATTCTCCCGTTAGCTCCGGGTTAGCTCACACGGCTCTAAAGTATTCACTGTCTGACTGTCACACAAGCAGCTGATACATATCCCCAGTTCCCCTTAAGTGAATGTGTGTCAGTCTGAATTGACGCTGTTTGGCATCACAATGCTGTTATGAAAGTTTCTCTGGTATAAAATGGGTGATGTTAGCATAGCAACCGAAGCTAAACTGACTACTTGCGATTGCTATCCTATTGTGGCATAAGCCTAAGCCGTTTTCTACAGGCACATTTTACCAGCGTATTTTTCATTATGATTCTACTTGTGATAGTCGGACATGACAACCTGTGCAGCCCATGTATTGATTCCATCCGATAGCTCAACCCAGTCTCACGGCATTTCGTGTTATTAGTCACAAAATTAATTTAATCTATTGATTCGTGTTCACCAACACGATTTTCACATTTTTTTCGTGTCACACAGAACGATTTTAAATGCAATGTATTTCTATTGGTAGTATGTTTCGTGCCTGCAACACGTCTTTTTGTCCGGTCGGGTCTTGGAAGACCAGAAGCTGTGTGGTTCATAAAAACATGTTCTTACTCAATATCTTACCCTAAGCCTAACCCTATCCCTTTTATTTTAAATTGTATAATGTCTGAGTTTTTTTGCCGTCAGTGAGGAAAAGAAATGGCTCAGAGCCTCAGAATACTGAAATCTGTATTTTATGTCATCTTTTTTTCCTTCTAATTTGTTATTATTTGGTGCAGGCACGAAACATACTACCAATATAAATACATTGCTTCTAAAATCGTTCTGTGTCAGAATACTTAAATCTGTATTTTTTTTAATGTGTTTTTCCTTCTAATTTGTTATTATTTACATTGCTTTTAAAATCGTTCTGTGTGACACGAAAAAAATGGCGAAATCGTGTTGGTGAACACGAATCAATAGATTAATTTCGTGACTATAACACGAAATGCCGTGAGACTGTGTTGGATAGCTGCTATAATACAAAACAAAACGTCTGCCTGCTCTCCACAATGATCAATAACAGCGAACGGATGGTCAAAGTAAGGTACAAATAAACAGAATCACACGAAGCCTGGTTAGTGTTGCCTGACTTTATAAAGTGTGTTTTTTTTTATAAGTGTGTGGTTGCCTTCTAGTCACTTTGCTCAGCGCTACTGCTTGTAGGCAGGCATGACGAGACTCTTCAGTCGACCCATGTTCAGGGGAGGTGGGTTTAGTTTCCTGCACGCCTCGACGCAAGAGAGATGTAAGCGACGCCGCCTCTTAGCTCCAGAGTCTTGCTTCTAGACCGACAATTTTTTGGAGCTGGAAACGAACTGGATTCCGGAGCTAAGAGGCGGCGCCGCTGAGGTGTGAACAGGAAAAACCGGTACTTTTCAGGCTCCAGCTCCGAGCCGGCGCTGAAAACGCGTTGGTGTGAAAGGGGCATCAGAGGGGCGTGGGGAGTGGCTCCTTATTTTCATCTAAAGTAACAGACAGAGAATCAGCACTTTTGAAACAGGGCTGAAACAGAGGGGATTATGGGATGCTGCAATGATCTGTTTGGTGTTTGGAGCCAAACACTTCAGAGACATGTTTTATATATATCTGAGACCTATAATATATTGATGAAAAACAGTGTAATAGGGGACCTTTAAGCAGCACATTACACCTCTTTTAATGGTAGTAATATATTGTATATTTACCCCTTTACCTGCCCTGTAGTTCACCATGACTGAAGTGTTAAAAGCCCTTCTTATTGCCAGCTTATAACATATTTATGTTAAGACCACTACTGTAATTACATGGTTTGTTTACTGTTAAAATGTTACTTAGGTTACAGTGTCAGTTACAGTTCAGGTCATCTCAACATAAGGAGATGGGGGATGAGGGGTGCATCAGCATGTTTCCACAGAATAGCTTAGTGTCAAATCTGACTCCTAAGTATCATTATATATTTTATATCTTTCAGAAGTGCATCTTGAAACTTGTTATTATTTAGAAAATAAAAAACAGCTAAAAACAGATTCTTATAGGGCTAAAAATCCCCTAATTTGCTCTTTAACTTTTTCTGACCTCTACTTCTCGCAAACAGTGCTGAACTCATATGTTTTGCATCAGGGAACACAAGAGCTTTTGAATGTGGGAGAAAAATATGTCAGATCCGTCTTTTTTTTAAATGTATTATAGAGGAAATCCATAAAAACCTACAAGCCTTAAACAGAAAGAAAGTATCAAAAATAGTTTGAGTCTTTTTTGTGACAATGTTATCTCACCTCTTATGTAAAGATATTTGAGTGACATACAGTAAGTAGATGATCTGACCTTATACTATTCAGGAAGAGGAGGATGATAATACAGGTGCCTCCAACCTCTTTTATTCTAACCGTGTCTTTACTACTCCTCTGATTCTCTCATTCACTCAGGACGGCTCCGGTCCTCACCTCCCCACCGCCTACGAGCCGGAGCCATTCGCCAAATACGGCACCCTGGACGTGGCCTTCGAGTACGACTCCGGGGAGCAGTGGTTGGCCGTCACGGTCACCGCGGCGACAGACATCCCCGCTCTGAAACAGACGGGAAACATCGCCTGGCAGGTCCACCTCGTCCTGCTGCCCACCAAGAAGCAGCGAGCCAAGACGGGCGTGCAGAAGGGGCCGTGTCCCATCTTCACGGAAACATTTAAGTTCTCCAGGGTGGAGCAGGACGCCCTCGGGGACTACGCCGTGCGCTTCCGCCTGTACAGCATCAGGAGGATGAAAAAGGAGAAGGTCCTGGGGGAGAAGGTTTTCTACCTGACTAAGCTCAACCTGCAGGGGAAGATCGCGCTGCCCGTCACCCTGGAGCAGGGCTCTGAGCTCACGGTGAGAACACTTTGTACATTTCTATCCAGGCACAGTTTTATCTGAAGCACTGGGATTTAGTTTGACAACGAACATCCCAACTGAAGACCTGAGAATATATTGAATTTCTATCAATCCTTTTCTTATTTTCTCATTAGTCAATTCATTTTTGGATCTATAAAACGATGAAACTGTGAAAAATACTCAGTGGATTTTCTAAGAGCCCAATGTGACGTCTTAAGATGTTTTTTGTTCCACCAACAGTCCAATTAACAATCAATATAACGTAAGACAAGCAGGAGGAGAACGGAGTGGAACCAACCAATGTTGGGCATTTTTGCGTTATCAAAATAGTTGCTGTTTCTACATTTATTAGTCAACTAATCATAAGTTGTAAATGAGTCTTCTCATTATTTAAACAAGGTTCAGTTCTCGTGTTAAATATTCGGGGCTTCATTTCATCAGTCATTGCTACATTTCACTGCAATGACTCCTTTACCCAGAATGTCAGCGATAGAGATCAGTAAATTAAGGACTGGGTCAAGGTGGCAGAGATAAATGTAACGTCAGGGGATCGACACATTCTTTGCGATTAATTCTGAAGAGAACATAAATATCTGTACCAAATGTCATGATAGTTTATCCAATAATTCTCTGTAGAAATGTTATTTAAAGCCCCAAATGGTGGCACGGGAAGCACAATTAGAGGATTAGAAACATCTGTAGGGTTTAGAAGCAAATTCTGTACAAAACTGTCATGGTAATAAATCTCGATATTTCTGTGTGAATGAAAGTGTTGGAACGCCTGACCTCCGTTACTAGAACGAAGCTGCTATTTAGGCTAATAGGTTCTTTGTTAGCCTGGTTGAAACGCCAAATGAAAAAGACTTACTTTAACATACTGTAAAAATATCCCACTGATGCCTTCTGTCTACTCCTGAGTAACTCCTGGTGTGTGTGTGTGTGTGTGTGTGTGTGTGTGTGTGTGTGTGTGTGTGTGTGTGTGTGTGTGTGTGTGTGTGTGTGTGTGTGTGTGTGTGTGTGTGTGTGTGTGTGTGTGTGTGTGTGTGTGTGTGTGTGTGTGTGTGTGTGTGTGTGTGTGTGTGTGTGTGTGTGTGTGTGTGTGTGTGTGTGTGTGTGTGTGTGTTTGATGTTACCAGGGTTGTGGCTCTGTGGTGAGCGTGTCTCGCAGCGCAGGAGCTCTGTCCTATCGCTCCACTGAAGACTCCTCCCTGCCGGAGCTCCTGCTGGGTCTGCTCTACAACTCTGCCACGGGACAGTTATCTGCTGAGGTCGTCCAGGGAAGCCACTTCAAAACCCCGGCGTCGGAAAAACCCGTCAGTACGTACAAAAGCTTCCACGTTAAACCTTTTACTCTGTGTCAACTTCCTTTCTTTAAAATGTAATGTTGCTTCCCCAAAGTGTGCAGATCACACTCAGCAATTGTTTGGCAAAACAGATGGGCAAGACTCCCAGCAGCATGTTAAAAAAAAACAAATTACCACCATTACATTTTGTAATGTTTCCCGGCAACAACAACAACAACTGCTTTTTAAGAACCAAAGTGCTTAAAGCCATACTGCTGAAACAATCGCTGTGTGTCAGAGTTCCCATGAAGCTGACCTTGTGGTGTATCTCCATCTTTAAACTGTTTCCTCTCTTTCTTCCTTCTAACTGTGTGTGCCGTGGTGTGTGTGCCACAGACGGTCTGTTCTGTTGTGTTAAACACTTTGTTGGGGGGCAGCTTTATGTCATGAGAGGTAAGTCAGCAGTGAATTACTTGTAGATTAATCATGGTTAGACATATGTGAACGGTATATGTTCAGGTTTTGTTCTAAAAAGGTTTAAGGGCTTGAAAACTGTCCACAGTGATATATCAAATCAAATCAAATCAAGTTTTATTTATATAGCACATTTTTAAACGATTTTTGGTCGAGCCAAAGTGCTGTACATATAATAAAATACCCTACAGTAAAGACACTTTACAGCAAATACAACTGTATATATGTTGATTGTTAGAGTAACAAGGACAATCATTTTGAAAGGAAAGTATGTGGATTTGTTTAAAATGTTACTGTTAATGCTGTAAGCACCACAATAGAAATGGAAAAGACAGAGATATCTAAACAATCTGGCAAATAAAGTTAACTCTGTTTTCATAGGTACCAACATGGGTAATTGATAAATATATTTTTTTTAAACCGACTCTTTAAAAAAAGTATGAGACCTCCCCTCAGGCAAAGCTTGGAAAAAGAAACCTCCTCACCCATCCAGAGCTTACTTCTTAACTACATTTTTGGTTGCCTATGGGACCGTGACTATGTTATTGGACCCTATACATACTCAACAATTGAGGCAAAACAGCCTAATATTGCTGTTTGAATGATCTCTACACTACATGTCATACATTAAAAAAAAAGGTAATTTACTAGTTTCTGATCCTTGGAAGGTGGGAGAAACTTCCCCAAAACGGATCTATCTCTGGGTTATCTCTTAAACCTAATCACATTTAGGGTCATTTTGATTATTTTTGGATAGTTTATGTAATATTTTTGCTTCTCTGACACTGTCTGGAGACCCCCTGGGGAGACCTGTCTTACACTTTGAAAACTCTTGATTAAATCACAAGATATTAAATCAATATTTAAACCCTCTGCCTCAGTTTGTTGCAGTACTGATATCCCTCCACTGGATGGCTCTCTCTGCCCGCTCTCTTTCAGACACCTACGTGAAGCTGACCATGCTGGACTCCAAGGGGAAGGAGATGTCCAAGTGTAAGACTGCCGTGTGCCGCGGGCAGCCCAACCCCACCTACAAGGAGACCTTCCTGTTCCAGGTGGCGCTCTTCCAGCTGTCCGAGGTGTCTCTGGTGCTGTCGGTGTTCTGCCGGCGGAGCAGCATGAGGCCCAGGGAGCGGCTGGGCTGCGTCTCCCTGGGCCTCAACAGCACCAGCGAGGACCAGCAGGCCCACTGGACAGAGATGAAGGAGGCGGAGGGGCAGCAGGTCTGCCACTGGCACACACTGACCAACACATAGGGGGCGGAAGATTCAAGAAGACTGAGATTTTACAACATACCCAGAGTTTCAGGGGGGGTAGCAGAAGCACCAGGAGGGATGTGTGTGTGTGTGCTGCGTACAGGTGTGCAGGGGTTCACTGCCAGAGACGGCATGAATACCCTTTAATCTGCCACAGACTTTTATTGGTGGAGGTGGAAGCTTCAGCGCCAGCCTTTTATTGACAGAGAAAAATGCAGAGGCAGGCAGACTGAGAATGAATGACATTATCATTACTGAACTTAAAAAAGGAGTGTTTTCTTTCAGTAATTCTGCCTACAGCAAGGTCTGCATGTAACTGTTTACAGGACACATTTTTCTGTCTCTGAATCTTGGACCAAAGAGCTCGGTCCATGACTAGCAGACTCCTCCCTGTCTCTTGTTCTTCTTCTCTGGATTTAAGCTGCCACCAGCATACCAGACATTTCTCTATCAGTCATAGCCATTGACAATAGAGAAGGCAATGAAAAGACTGTTACAAAAGGGCCTACAACATGCTGCAACTATGCTTACAAGCTATGCTGTGTACAGATTGTTTACATGACATTATGCAAGATCCATTTATCCTTTTCCCCTCTTTTATGTTTTTGGATTATCAGTCAAATGGTTTACTAGATGTATGTGTGTCTCTCTGGGGTTTGTGCTACACAAAGACACTTTATTATTTGATTATTTTTGGTGTTGCATAACTCGCTACACTATGCATCCAACTCCACTTTAAGCTAGAGGAGTGAAATTCTGTCTTCCGCTCGCTGAGTCTCTTTCAGAATTGGACACAGCCCTGCATGCCACTGTATCAAAGAGCAGCTTCCTTTCCTGTGTAGTACAGATTGAGCCTGTTTCACCATTCAGCCTTCTGACAACTCAGCCATGTTCATTCATGTAGAAACATGGTGCTTCCCGCTGAGGAGGGATATGCAAAAGCCTGCGCAGTCCAATAAACCTGGCTGCTTCTCTGCCGCTGACAGCAGTGAAGTGAGCCGGAGTGGCAGAATGAAATTACATTGAAAAGGAACATTTTCTGATTACAAGGGACTAGGAGATGGATAATTAAATAAAGGCGGAAATAAATTAAAACATTGTGCAGGAGTGTGAGGAATCTGGTTTTACATGCATCTGGAACAAAGCCAATTTCATTAGCTATGAGTCAGAAAATCCCCCCAAAAACCTCACTGAAGACTCCACAGCCACACCCCGAGTTTCAGGCAGAAGCATGAAGCCCTCCCTCTTCTCTCCTCTGGCTGAAGCTGAGGGGTGTGGGATGCATTTTTCTCGTCTCAGTGATGTCAGACCTGACCCCGTCCTCTGGGTTCGGCCCTGCAGCTACACTTCGCTCTGACAGTTCCTGCAGAGCCACATTTTCAATTTAATTCATTATAAGATACACACCAGATGTGTAGCATTCCTGAGAGATAAACAAATGGCTTTTGATTGCAGAGATGGGAATCACAGCCACTGGAGTGTTTTCATTAGAATGGCATTTTGTTCCAAGCACAATTTGTGCGTTACCAGCATTTACAATCCGTTAGTTCCACTTTTTGGGAAACGACTGACCAATCTCATGCCAGTATGATAAATATGAAGCTTATAGTTTGCTTACAGACAGCAGCTGGGTTATTTAGCATTAAGGAAACATTAGTCAACTATGGAAGCCCATTTCTGCCCAAAAAATACTTCAAAGATTATGAGATAGCTTCTTAAAATGACTTATCTCAGTAGCTATAAGCAGGGGGGATTTAAACATTATTACCAAACAATTTCTTTAAAAAGAAAACTCAGATTCCCTCTTCCTATCTTTAGGACATATCAAATACTCAACGTGCAGGAGTGTGTTTTGTAAAAGAACAAGGCTATACGTCAGATAATGTTTTCACAATGTTTTTATTTCCATTAATCTGGCCTTCAATGGTATGTCTGACTCGGTCATCACAGCTCAGGCAGCGCTGCAAGGGGCTGGAGGCGGACCCTCACCCTGGATCACACATAGTTTCACCCAACACCCAGCAGAGGGACCGCGGCCTTCAGGGGGAAAGTATCCTGCCCCGGGCCATGGAAAACCAGCTGTGCCACATATCCTAAAGGAGAGGGGGGAGGTACTGACTTCCAAAAAAATACCATCTAACCCCATTTATGCCCCAGGACCGGTTTAGGCAGCCAGGTAATTATGAGGCCCCCAGGAGCTGCAATAAAAGCGTTCAGGTGAGGTGGTTTTCCAAGTCTGGTGCAGCACGAGTGCACATTTCCATTTTAGACTGGTGTAATTAGGAATCTGGCTCTTTACCCTGTTTACCTAACATGCCTAATGTAATGGTTTTGAGGCAGCAGCAGCCACCTGGAGCAGGTAGAGATTTGGCTTCAAAGACACTTTATGACTGTGCTAGAAGCTTCTTTTCATTTTATGACATTCTGTTTCAAGTTGACCTTCCCAAGAACCAGGACATCTTGACGTCCATAAAACACTTTCCTGCCCGAGTGCTGCTCTCAGGTCTGTTAGGTTCCCCCTCAAGCATTAAGTGGCACAAGCTAGTTTTCCTTGGTAATGTAATACAGATATACGGCTAAGTCCTGTTGGGACTTCTTAAGGATAAGGAATAATGAACTACAATGTTTTGTTATTTTATTGAATGTGTCATCAGTTTAAAAAAATGTTTTTTAATAATATATTCAATAAATATACAGGAACCATGGACTTGTGAGAGTTTCTGTTTCATAAAAGCATCCTCACAGTTAGAATCTTATTTAGGGGAAAGCATCATTAATTTGTTTTTTTAAAAGGCATGTTTTTAGGTTAATGTTTTGTTCAGATTACACAATTAAAGTCTGATCAAATAAAGGACTTTGGATTTATAATACAGGATGGAAAGGGCTCCAATGGATCGCCTTCTGAACGTAAGTACCATGCAGAGTGGAAATGGATGTACCAGACTGCAACCACTCACACGCTGCACCGAAACAATGCTCTGAAGCAGCAGACATCGTACCTATTTGGCAAAGAAAACATTCATCAAGCAATGGTAAAAAACAAACACAGTGGAACCAATATGGCGACACTAAAGTGACGTTTCTGTCTGAGCCGGGAGCGATCTATACAGGAGGCATGAACATGGCGGGACATTTGTATTACATCTGTCGCAGCGCTATAACTGGAAATATATTAAAGAGAGTAGTTTGAAATGTTGGAAAACATGCTTATTTACGGTCTGGTGGAGAGTAAGATGATACTATTTATTAATTCAATAGGCTTACCTTTAGCCTGTTGCCAGGTAGCTTAGCAAAAAAAACAACAGCTAAACAGCTTGTCATGTTTACACCTTATGTTTTGTTTGGATTTAACAAAACATTAGTAAGTGCGCTTCAAAGATACTGATTTTGGTACGAGTTAAAGGTGGGGTAGGTCATTTTGGAGAAACCAGCTCGAGTGCGCTAGAATTTGAAAATACACAGCCGGAAAAAATCTGCCACTTCCTTACAGAGCCCCTCCTCCAACACACACGAACGCGCACATGACCAATGAGGGCACGAGATAAGTTTGTGCCCCGATGGAAGGCTGACAGGCAGGTAGGCCATCCAGTTATTTAAAATGATTGGTCGTACTTTTTACAGTACTACGGCTTCCACAGATGACATTTCTTTATGGATTTTTTGTCAAAGCACTTAAGATATTTATTGCTATCGGGATGTTAAGAGCATTCCATGGAATATAACAAAAAGTGTATCTCGAGCCGGTTTCTCAAACTTACCTACCCCACCTTTAAGGACAGAGACAGGCTAGTTGTTTTTCAACCAGTTTCCATTCTTTATGCCAATATAAGCTAGGCTAAGCTAAGTTGACAGATTTCAGAGCTGTAAATATCTAACTCTGCACATGAAAGCAAATAATTGTATTTCCTAAAACGTCAAGCTACTCCCTTTAATCTTTTTTATTTATTTGTATATTATCCTAATTGTGTTAAATGTATCCTTCTTTACAATTACAACTTTAATTAGACATCCAAACATTTTCTTTTTCCGATTTTGGCAGCAGTGATTCATGACTTGGTTGCACTTCAGTAAGGGACATTGTAACCATTGGCTGGTTATTATTATTATTACATTTAAAACAGGACTACTTGAATCTCAGACCAGTTTTACAAACATTATTCAACACCCTATAGCATAAAAAACAGGCCATTTTCAAACACTCGTCGAAGAGTGCAGATCCTGTAAGCATAATAAAATGACAAGATGGTGGCTGGTTTCCATGACAGATTTGAGGCATTATGGTGACCACTGAAGTGAATTCCTTCTGAACATGTGACAATACTAAACATGATTGGGCCAAAGTCTTCAGTCGAGTTTCTTTCTCGAACCAATGAGTTTGTGTCTGATCTCCAACAGGCGGAGGATCTGGAAAAAGTTTGTCCATCAAAAAAGATTTACACATTTAGATTTAAAAGAAGAATTTCCAATAAAATACCTCTGACCCTCAGTGCTCGTCTTGCGTACAAGAAGTACAGTTTGTTACTGTGAAAATGAAAAATAATCGAAGTGTCAGCCATGTGCTGCTGATGCCCTCCCAGCTGAAGCGGTCGACAGGCGGCTGGCGAGCGCAGCACGACATCAGTCCGTCAGTGAAGCAGCTACAGCTCCATTGTTAGGTAGAGTTAATGTACACTCGTCTGTACAACCGTCGTCTTTCCTCGGCGACCGTTAAGAGGTGCAAATGACATCTGTAGTGGTTGATGATTGAGCGTGATTGAAGAACATGAAAAAGGAAGAGTGACATCCACTGAAAAGGCTCATTTTCTTGGCAGTCGTCCCTTTCAGCTTCCACTCTTCACATTTCCAGTAGAGTTGTGGATTAGACCACCCAGCCAACAGCTTTAAAAGGTCTTGTCTCCCCCCCTGGGCAATATCCTCACCACCAACTTTTCCTTTGTGCATTTATCTGGCAGTCCATCCATCTTCATCACTGCGTGCAGAGGGAGCTGCTGTTCTTTTAAATACTTCCAGTCCTTCAACCCTCTCTGCTTTTGGCTCTTTGCTGGGCCACTCAGCCCGGTGCTATATGAACTTAAAGCACTTGGTCTTGTCGTGGGGCAAACGAGTCTTAAACAGCACAGAGTCCACGCGAAACTGTGTGTACAGAAGCGGCATGTAGCCGTACACTTTGACGAAGAAGTTGATGCACTTGTGGCGTTCGTGGAAATGGGAGTCGTCGTGTGAAAGGGCCTGAGGGCAGCCGGGACAGCGGAAAGTCCAACGTGACGTTACCTAAAGATGGACAAAGAGACAGTATAGTCATATGTGTAGGCAGTATTTCACAGCACAATGCTGCTGTAGGAGGGGATAGTGCAATGTAGGATAGCAAAAACACTCATTAGGATTATCTACAATACACTACAAAATAAAATAAAATGCCATTTATTAGTTTCATGGACGAGCATGAGTTGAGGATGCCATCTTCTTGATTGGGACCCATCAGCATAAGCCTCAGTCTTTTAAGACAACCACCATAACACAGTCAGCATGTCGCTGTGTCCTTGGGCAAGACAGTAACATGTCATATACTGTAATCTAAAGCACTTTGAGCACTTGGAAAAGCGCTAAATAAATACCATGAATTATTATTATTATTATTATTATTATAAATAAAACATTTCTTTGTTTGTTTTCAAGACTAAAATGGATCAGCATGTAATATTAAAAAGTCAGCCAGAGGTGGAGTTTTAAAACTGAATAGGGAGCTGATTAGCTCAACAGATTTTATTTGTTTGCTAGTAAAAACAGCTAGCTATCAAAACGTGTCATGCCTTTGTCTTTCATTGTCTAAATGATGGAACAATATCTTTAAAAGGTAAATCATTATTTGAAGTGGTAAATCTGCCCCTGTTATCATGTAGCTGTTAACTGCATATGTAAAATGCAAATAGGGGGCAGGATACAGAAATCAATCCTAAAAACTGAGTTTGAATGTTAATTCATCAGCAGTGATTCATAAAAAGTCATTTATCTTCGGTTTTATTTGACTCCACATTAAAACTTGCCCCAAATTCATTATTCACAAGGCGTATTCCTGGCAGCGAATTGCTGTCATGCACAACACACTCCATCAAAGCAGTCCTTAATTCCCTAAATGAAACACCCCTGAATATTAACACCACTAAATCAAAAATAACTTAAACCCAGGGCTGCAATAACATTTCTGCTCCAACAGCTTCCATGCTGTGATTGCTATAATTATTTGTCTAGCCATAAATATGCCCTCTGGTAATAAATGTCCTTCCGATAAAAATCCAGTTGAAAATCAGGCATAGCGCACCAATTCGATCTTGTTTTTTCTTGATTCATCATTTGTGTGCAATATTGGATATGTCAGTTTGAGTAATGGCGAGGCTAAGTGGGAAAAAATATAAATACATGGTGCCTGCAGGAGACACAAAGATTACAAGATGCTGGACTGCGTGCCCCGTCACTGACCTTGATGGGAGGTTTTCGGGTGATGTGAGAAACCAGGAAGTTCATGGCGATGTCTTCACAGTTTATGTACTCGTCCACCATGTCCCTGATAGCCTGGGGCATCACGTAGGAGTACAGGTAGGCGTAGTACTACATCAAAACAAACACCAGGGGACAAGTCAATTATGTGGCTATGAGACGAGATACATTTGGCTGCATGGTGTATGTTTTTTTTTTGGAGGATGATGAGTTCAAGGTCTGACCTTATGGAAGAAAGCAGCTCCGGTCAGGACCATGGAGAGCTCACAGGAGTAGTTGGAGTTGTAGAGCCAGGACTGATGGTTCACGTCCCACGCATGGTACCTCCCGGGGAAACCCACGATGCGATCTCTGGCCTCGCGCCACACTCTGTGAGACAAAGTCAGCAGAAGTTCTCCTTTTAAAAAAAACTCTTGTTTGTGGGCATTGTAGAGTAAAAAATACCGTTTAAAATGGAATAAAATATTTGTTTTTTTAAAGGATGATTGTTTTTTGTTACTAATTAGTTTGCAATAGGAAAATTAGAGAACAGAGCAATTAAAAAGTGTTTTAGTGTTGAAAATAATCGATAGTGCCCATGCTACTTTGTGGTGAAGCATTAGCACACTGCTAATAAAATAAATGGCTGATAAAGGTTTGCCGGATCTCATAATATATGTCATCACTTCCTCTCAATGACATTTAAAACATTTTTAATGCAGCTGCTAGGTGATTTCCTTCATAATGAAACGTTGCTCTAATCCAGTTTATAATTCCTCATTTTAAATGAATGAATTAAGACATGACTGGGCAGAATTATTAAATGTTTAATGAACTTTTAATTGTTGTTGTTTGCCAATTTTTTTTTTATGGTCATTAGTTTGGTTTAAAAGTGGCAAGTGGCGTGTTTGAACTTATCTGTATAAAACACGTGACGCATTTTTTCCTCCTGGGGTTAATTAAGTAATTATCCTCTTGTCTTTTATCAGTTTCACACTACCATAATGTAGCCCTATAGCGGCAGGAAGGTTTTGGAGATAAATCTGTGTTTCATCTTATCAGATTAGATACTTGGAATTCCTTCTGTAGACACAGACGAATCAAGAAATCTAATGTTTTAAATGAGCTCATGTGAGACCACTTAAATGTCTAAGACAGTCAGCTGCATATCACACACACACACACACACACACACACACACACACACACACACACACACACACACACACACACACACACACACACACACACACACACACACACACACACACACACACACACACACACACACACACACACACACACACACACACACACACACACACACACACACACACACACACACACACACACACACACACACACACACACACACACGTAAATGAGTGTGAGAGAGGGAAGGGGAAGGTGCAAAACATATCTGCTCTTTTAATTGGATTAGACATGGCCTTCGCAATCTGCCTATCCAAGAAAAGTATTAACAAATAAATCATAATTACAAGGAAGCATGTTTTCCTTTAAATTAATCTGGCTGAGTTTCGAGTGGTTGCTTCAGTTTTTCTGTAGAATTCAGAGTTGTTCAGGAATGCGAAGCTTCTGCATTCTTTGGGGCATTTTCCCTTCCCACTGGAGACGAAGCTTTCCCTTTAATTACGCTGCATTTTTTCGACTCTCTTCACACCATGTCTCTTGAGAAAGGACAATTTTAACTATCATCAAACTTGTTTTCTTCAACAAACAAAAACACACTCCATTAATCACAACCCCTTTTCTTTTCAAAATAACCGGGAAAAAAGCGAAAATTGTGGTCTGTAAAGATTTCCTTTAATTGCCTGTTCTTCCCCTCCACGTCTGGGTGCCTATCATCAAACATTAAAGGTAATTGTTTTGTCAATGCAGTGCCTTTCAAAATGTGAGTATTTAAGCAAACATTTGTAATTAAATTAGTAGAGATTTGTTCTCACTTCTACGTATCTTTGTTTTTCCCCGTATAAAATCCACTTGAATTCAATGTTATAAGACAATAAAATGCTTTGTGTTTTAAACCACAAAAAAGTAATGACAAATGCATGTGTTGCCCAAGAGCCCAAAGTGATGACACATGTTGTTTACAGGGTTTCTCTCTTGTATGTATGAATCCCTAAAGCCTCATGCACTCTTGTTACTGTCACTGACCTGAACCCGAACATGATCTCGTCGTGGCGGAGATGAGCGTCATCGTCAATCGACAGGATGGCCTCGGTTTCCACGACGTCCCAGGGAAGGAAGCGGTTGTTGAGGCTGTTCTTCTCTGTGCGGACGACCTGCAGGCGCAAACAACAAACTCTTTCAGTCATTATCGTTAGAAGTGATACTTGATTGTGCTTTTGGGAGTTTTTGCTTTTGCTGTAGTGTGTTATATAGGTTTATGTGCATGTCAATGTTCTGCAAAGACTAAAATCACAAAGTTCGGACTCTTCCATAAAATACATTTTAGCACAAAATGATTCCAAACATGTGTCAGTCATACGTTGTAGTTATACATGATCCGTATAGAAGCAGTTTATATATACGCCTGTTAAATAGTAGTGCCAGGTGGCTTCAAAGACTCTGCTGGCACTGACAAAAACAGAATCTAATTCTTTAGTTTCTCTTCACAGCTTACCACTTGTCCCCGTCACAAACTAATGGGGTGAATATGAATCACATGAATATTTTATTTTTTCAGACTTAATTCAAAAGCCCAAATTGTATTATTCATGGATGTCAGACTTCTTCACATCTTTTTAGTTAAGCGGCTAGTAATTTGTATGGACTCCTGCAGAGTTTCAAAGAAGAACTGATCCAAACAACTTTATGTAATGCAGCGCGTCAAACTTTGCACCACCTCAGAAACACTTCAAAAATACTACGAGTCACTCTTTTGCACTTCAAAGAGACGAGATAAGACAGAGATATATTCCTTACAAATACAAACAAACATCACTGAGATAAATTGGACATTTGTTGAACAAGAGTGTTAGTCATTAGGAGCACTCACCACGATGGGCAGGCCGATGTCTGGCCACAGCAGGTCGTCTGAGGGAGGCTTGGGTGAGTTCCACACCACCACTACTTTGTTGAGGTACGGCAGTCCATTCAGCCTCTCCAGAGAGTTCATCAGCACCTCCTCCCTCTCATAGGTCAGCATGACCACGGTGAACTGTTCTCGGGGCACGTTCCCTCCTAGAGCTGCCTGAAACTCCTTCCCTGAGCCTCCCGTACCTCCACCGATGGGCCTGAAGCCAGTTCCAGAGCCGAGGAATTTGGCTTCAGAGGGCAGCACGGGGTCCAGAGGAGTGTGAGGGAACAGATGGAAAGGCCCCGGGGCCCGGTTCCATGCTCTATATGTTTCTGAAGCTGTGTATGTGAAGTTGCGGAGAAAGCGCGGAGAGGCGTAGGGGGGCTCCGTCTCAACAGGACCCAGATCCAGGTCCCCATTGTCAGCCAGGTTGGCGTCAGTTCCTGCCAGCTTCCCTGCTTTGTGGGGAATCTCGTGAGCCGGCTCTTCTTTGATGGGAGCAGCAGGAACCTGGATGCTGGTTCTGATGCAGGCCAGGAGGGTGTTTAGAACATTCTCCGAGGTAGAGAAGTACGTCTCCCACAGGAAGCGGCCCTGCCGCCTCATGGCCAGCATGTCATTGTCTGATAGGCTGCGCAGCAGGAAGTGTAGCTCTGTGACACGAGGCTTAGGGACTATGATGGCAGCTTCGCTCCATCGAATAAGCTGGTGATACGGCAGTCTGGAGTGGTCCCCCAACACGACTGGGATGGTCCCCACTTCGAGGGCCTCAAAGAGCCTCATCCCACAGCCTGCTGAGGCCACCAGCTGCCCATCCCCTGGAGCTATCACCAGGCCAAAGGTGGAAACCTTGAGCACCTCCAGCCGGTCCTCCCTCTCCCCACACAGAGCCCACTCAGTCGGCAGGCTCGGCCGGGGGTTCTTGCAGGTGAACTCCACCAGCACCTGATCAAGGTGGCTGTCCTGCACCGCCTTTAAGGTGCCGATGATGCGATCATCGTAGTCGGCTGGTGGGTCTCCTTCCATCTCCTCCTCGAAGGTCTGGGGGGGTCCTTCCTGTAAGCTGCTCCTTAGTGACTCCACCCTCTCCCCCTGGAAGGTGAAGAGGTATTTCCTCTTTACAGGAACTTGAGGGGGCACTTCTAAAAAGTTTGGCTCTGAGAGGGCATGAACGAGCGGGGACACAACCAAGTCAAAGCCCTCGCGGTACTGCTGCTCCAGGAAGGTGGACTGAGCGACTGCCGCCCGTCCTGTGCTCACATTATACAGGAAGTTCTGTGTCATTGACTTTCTAGAGAAATGCACCAGAACATGATTGTGTCCATCAGATCTCCAGTAAGGCAGAGCTTTCAGTTGCTTCTCCAGATCTGAGGGAGGTGGAGGCGGGGAGGACTCCTGCAGCTCCCCGACTAAAACCAAGTAGAGACAGGCAATGCTGGGGTTATCGGTTATATAAATGTTGCTCTTCACTGATGCTGCAAACGCCTGCTTCACCAGGGGGTCAATAAAGTCTGCCCATGGATAGGAGGCTGTGTCGTAGACATAGACTGGAAACCCAGAGGTGAGAGGGCAGCGGGCGTAGTCGAAGCAGGAGCGTAGGCGGCAGGAGCGTGCAGACTTCGGCGGTGGTAAACCCGGGTCCTCCTTGTCTGGCAGCAGTCTGACCGGCAGTGAAAGCTTGGGCTGGTTCTGGGCCATCAGTTCTTTATAGGAGTGTTCTGTCTGGCTGATAACGTTCTTCAGCTGCAGCAGGTCCTGCTTGGCGCTGTCGATGCTGCGCTTGCAGGCCTCGATGCGCATGTTGAGTCTGGAGATCTCCCCGTTGAGCTCCTGCCTCTTGGCCTCCAGCTGCAGCAGCTCCTCGCTGACCGACTCGCGGATCCGGCACAGATCCTGCACATGTTTGGCCTCACAGAGTTCGCCACCGGGCCGCGGGCCAAAGATGTGCTTCTCGGGACCCCCGGCTTCATCGATGGTAGTGAGGTAGTAATGGGCGATGAGTGGGAAGAAGACCAGGATGAAAAAGAGCATGAAACTGAGCCAGGTGAGACGCACGCGCCGTAACAGCCATGGCTGGCCACCGGCGCCCGCCCCCCCGCCGTTACGCTGCATCGTTGACTCTCTCAGTCTGCTCCTTGCATTGCCAAGGAAGCGTTGCTATGGGGATCAGCAGCGGCCATGATACGACCTTGTCAGCAAGGTGAGGTTCGGCCTCACCTGTATTCTAAAATAACCTCTGATGTGGTATAGCTCAGACAAACTAATACCATTTCTATTGCGGGGTTAAGCTATTTTCCTACTCTATTCCAGAAAACACTCCGGTGTCTGGAGAGTTCCCCTCGATGGGTGAGGCACGGAGGGCATGGCCGCTCACAGGTCAGAGAGACGGGTGGGTGGGCCAGCTTCTTCTATCCGGGATGTGCTCATTTTTCGGTCACTTTTTCCAGGGATTCCTTTTGGAGATCGCGCTTCTGGAATATAGTCTTTCTTCTCAAAGCAGGAACCTGGGAGAGAAAAAAAATAGTGCCGATTATTAAAAAAAAATCTAAAAGCAAGATCAAAGTAACTATTGGAGCTTACAAACACGTTTTATGTCCCAAAACATTTTACATGCATATTTTGAAACTCATGACTGGGAACTGATAGCTGCATTTAGTAAAGCAGGCTCATTAGAAACTGCCTCGATGTAACAGATAAAGTTTCTTTTGTCATAACAGAGGCTGGAGGTGGAATGCTGCCATCCTTAATATAATGCCAACATGTATGTATAGTCAGGCTCTCCATAGTTAGCCACTGTAAATGTTTCTCTGTAAAGCAAGATACTGCAGCCCAACCTTTTTCCACTGCATGTGTGCTGCAGAATACCAGGGAGCAGGGCTCTCGACTAACTTTTTTCACCATCCTCCCGGAACCGTCCCGAAATACAATCTAAGCCGTCCCGAAATTAATGTGGACCGTCCCGAATTTAAAATATTTGTTTTTCTACATTATCATTAGTTGAAATCATTCAAAGTGACCTTTAACATAAATAAAACATCATACAAATCATTAGATGATAATTCATCAACCTTTTTATTTGAGTAAATCAGTCAAACACAGAAACAAAGGCCAAATATATTTAAAAAAAACACACAAGCGAGAAAGTTATTCTAATATTGAATCCAATCAAGTCCCATCCGATTAACAAAAAAATCCAACACTCTGTCCTGAAGACAGAACCAAGAGTAACCACTAACCAGGATGACAGTCTGTAACACAGTCAGGAGACCTTTACAAACTGCCCCGCCCCCTCGCACACAGACGGGGGAGAGAGCTCTCTCGTCTGGATTGGAAAATACATCATAGACGCATTTTGTAGTCTTATTGCATATTAGAAAAGGAGTTGGCGAAACTAAAACTGCAATATAATGTTCATGTAGCAATAATACATATGACATGTATGTTTTAAATGTCTCCAGTACCGATAAAAAGACCACTGTTGGTACCACTGTCTTTAATAATTCCGGCCCGGGGCCCGTTTAATACCGGGGCTCGGTACCCATCCCTACATGGGGAGAGGCGCAGCATATTGCTAAGGACTAAATGCGATGGAGAGTTCTCATCTCAGCTGCAATGACATGTCTGGAAACCCCCTCTAGGGTGCCCCATGCATAGCGCGTCGTCAAAAGCTGCTTCCTAAATTAAGTTTCGTTTCTCCGCACCGCTCCGGGGTAAAAAAATTGTAGTTACATCACAGCTGTGCGGCTGGCTGACAGCTGTAGCTACGTACTGTGTGTGTGTGTATTTCGCGGGTTGCTAAATGCTTTGTGTGTGTTTATGTTGACAAGGAGGTTTAATAACTGTGTGCTACACAAAACGTGCAGTCAGTTTCATTTTCATCGCCGTTCGTAGTAGAGTTAGCAGGGTATTTTTATTTTAACTCTCGTCCCAAATTCGTCCCAAAATGTATTTGTATCCTCCCCGACCCGATTTCTTTCGGCCCCGGGACGACGGGAGGTCCTTAAGCTCGAGCCCTGCCAGGGAGTATGTTTTCTTTCAATTTCTTCCCTTTCTGAATCAGCCAGGAGGAGCACAGAACAGAGGAGGGCGCTCACTAGTAAAAGTGCACACAGTTGGCAAGCCAACACCAGCAGCACCTCCAGCAAATCTCATTAAGGGTTCCTCCTGCACCCCGACCTCATCACTGACTCAAATTACCCAGCATCCCTGATAACAGTCCACCTGAAGAAGTGATGTAGAATTATCTGCACTGGCTCAAAGGAGAAAAAGGCTTCGACAAAGGAAACCAGCTGCCCTTCTGATGCAGAACGCTTCACTTCGCATGCCAATTTTATTTGAAGTGTTCAAGTTCTTCCCGATGGCTTGTGTTTTATCTTAAGATCAATGCAAGAATAACCATAAATACATCTTCCTCTGATCATGTTCTCCCGGTTTGGAGCTAGTTAGAAAATATAAGAATGCAAGAAAGAATGAAGACCTCGGAAGCTGAAGTGTGCGTACGTTTTGAAGAGATAGCTAGAGCCAGAGCCCAAAACCAAACTGAAAGTAATATTAGGTCACCTTTCAGAAAGAATCTTACATAATGAGCATTGTGTACATTTCAGAACAGATTGTTTCTTTCCACGGGCAGCAGACAGTCTACTTTCTGAGCTTCATAGCTAAATCACTACAGCACAAGCCCGGAGGATGTCCACAAAGTGCCAAACAATCCTTATCAAACACAGAAACCCACAACACTGAGCGCCAGCCTTGATAAAGCAATGCGGTTCAGACCAGAAAAGGAACGCAGGTGCTGTTTACCTTATGCCGACATAACAGCTCCTCTTGATAAGGATAAAACTCCTACGACTGGTGAATTTAAGCCTGTGCGGTTGTAACGGTTTCATTACTGCCCGGGTTAAGATCACAGCACAGAGAGATAACCATCTAAAAAACAAACTGGGAAAAAAACAACATTCTGTCAAGTAAAAATGTCTCCGTGCTGCCTCCATGTGACGGGCAGTTCTGATGTGTAGAGATTACTTCTCCCCCGTCTAACCTGAAACACAGCACAGCTGGTGTGTGTGTGTGTGTGTCTGTGTCTCTCTCTGTGTGTGTCTATGTCTGTGTCTGTGTGTCTGTGTGTCTGTGTGTCTGTGTGTGTGTGTGTGTGTGTGTGTGTGTGTGTGTGTGTGTGTTGGCCTGTAAAGGAGAGGAATGAGAAAAGGTACTGGCAAATCACATGACACACACGTGATTTCATCTTGCCCAAAATGACCCGACAGCCTGCTGCTCGTCTCCTTTCAGCTGCGTGCCTCAATGCACCTCAAAGCTGAAAAGACTGATATAAAAATCAAAACAGTTGGATAATTAATCGATCATAACAACGGGCAGAAAATGAATCAGTCAATTCAATTTGAAATGTTATTATTGATTGAGGGTCGAAAAACTGTGAGCAATGCTTATCAAAATGTCCTCGAATCAAATGTGAGTTCATGACAATCTATGTTGATATGAAACGGAAAAAAAGGGAGCAAAACTTCACATTTGAGGAGATGAAAATTGCAAATGTTAAGCTTCTTTTTTTATAAAAGCCTTGTCAAATAGAGTCGTGTTATCCGGCTGCACTAAGCACAGAGCCACCTGGATACTTCTGGATTTACAACCAAACACAACATTACCAGGATACTGACCAAAGGCTGAATTGTCCAAAAGCCAGCAACAGTGCATCAGTATTAGATAAAATAAGTGATATGTGTTTCAGCCACAGTCAAATGTGAATCAATTCAGGTTAACATTAGACAAAATGCTCTGGTCCAACAAAGTACCTACAAACCAGTGATCTTTGGTTTATTCAGAACGTGTACAGTAAAAACTGCGAGGCCATGTGACCCTTCGAACGCTGACCCTACTCCTGCTGCGTAGCGATGTGCCCGAGGTGCAGAGTGACCGAGTGGCGACATCACAACTCTCTGATTAATTGCAGCCGGACTGCCAGTGTCACAGGGCTAATGGCAGACAGATGCTGGCAAACGCTGTCGCTCGGCCTAATCTGGAGCCAAAAACAAGATGGCTTAAAGCTCTGCCCGTGGCTGAGTCTGGGAGTCGGAGCAACACACACGGATGGGAACTAAATCTCTATCTCTTCAGTTGTAGCGTCCTAATCTGCAGGATGTCTTCTCTGCGCTGCACTCAGCATAATCTGAGAGCTGTTTGCATGGAAAACACACAGGAGAGCATTGATCGCTCCGGGTTTACTTTGTGGGATCAAGGATAATGCCATCATTACCTACAAGTGGAGCTGCGAGGCTGTTTGGTGTTAAGCACCTTAAGGGCTGCTGTTGTAGCCATTTTCACTTGTAGGCATTAGGCTTACAAGGTGGCAGAAGAGTAAGAGTGAGCTATAAAGTATATTTGCACTCAAAGAGAGATACTGACATCATGGCCGTTCGTGTCTTCACCTTATACTAATAAAGCTGCAACGATTAGACGACTAATCTATTTGTTTATCGACTGTAAAATAAACAACCACTATTCAGATCATTTATTAAAGGGGACCTGTTATGTTCATCTTCAGGTTCACATTTGTATTTTGTGCCTCTTCTGCGACACGTTTACATGTCCCAGTCTGCTCTGATTGGTAAGCTGGCCCGGCTCTGTTGTGATTGGTCAGCCGCTTAGTCGAAAGCCACAGGAAAGTGAAACCAAAAAAGCATAATAGGGCCCCTTTAATCTTAAATCTTCATTCAAGCAAAGTTGGCAGAAAATGCTGTTTTCAGCCTCTTATGTATGGAAATATTCCTGCTGTTTCTTTGCGTCATATAAACTGATTATCTTTGGGGTTTAAAATGACAAAAAGAAAATACATTTAAAGATGTTACCTTGGACTTTAAGACACTGGGATTGACATTGTTCAGTTGTTTTGACATTATATAGGCCAAACAAATCTAGATCTGTAATATTGGGCAGACTCATTTTAAATATTCATCAGTCTCAGCGTTATACAACACAGTCTGCAGTTAAAATATAACCTGGAGCCACTGAGTAACAGTCACTGTACACTGAGTATTATATTATTCTTTTCAAAGATTGTTAATGTTGAATCCCTTCCTTACAGATGATGAGTAGTCTCTGCATGCATGGTATAAATAGTCCATTACAGTCATACTGAAAATCAATACGAAATACAACCCAGTCTCTTTTTAGAAGGCTATATCCTGCGACGTTTTCATATCAAATGGTCTGTAGTGTTCACAGGGGAAAGCTAAAGCACAGATGACCCAGATAAAAAAAACGTAGGCTGCTACAACTGGTGAGCAAGCAGTGACTTAAGTCTGCAAATAACTGGTCATGTTGATGATTAACGCAGACTGCATTGCTCTAGCAGTCAGTTATTTCGGAGTTTGGAAACAGACGAGACGCTTTTAACACAGGCTTTAATATCAATCTGCCAAGTCAGAGAGCATGAAAGCATGTCATGTTTGCAAGCTCTCTGAAACGCATCATGTTGTGACTAATACACCGA